AGAATCTGTGTAAATGTACGTATGTTTCTCGCATTGTGATAAAACAACCTGCCTAGAGCCATCAAAATTTGAATAACACAATCTTCCATAGAATATGGCACGTGGAAGCCCTAATTTGAATTTGTTTTGTTATCGATTTCATATTTTATAACACTTCAACGAATTTTTGATTAACAAACTCAACAATTTCAAAGCGAGCAATGGCAAGACTGTACAGGGGGGGGGGATTATTTCCAGCACGCGAGACTCTGTATCGGAAATTCTAAAGATATCCTAATTTTAAAATTATTTTGCGATGTTGCTGTTGAACAGCATTTTATGGTTTAAGTGCGAAAAACATGATATTTAATAAATAAAGGTAACACACAAAATGTTAAAAAAACGCCCCTTTGGACGTAATCTGAAACCTTTCAGATTTCCACACCTCCTTTTTTGTATCAGTGATTTTATTTTCCGCATATATGTGTGATACGTTGTTAATGCAAAAGTGATAATGATGATTAGCCAGCCCGTTAAATACACTGCGATATCATCGCCTTTAGGGTCACTGAGAGAGATTAATTATCAGGCAAATCTTGGTCAATCGTTAACAGCAATACGGGACCCTAACCAACATGACAAGAATTGGGAATATGTGACCTGCCACAAAATGTCATTTAGCTTTGATATCATAATATGACAGGCATTATAGATAATAGCAGAAGATCGATGCTTACTTTTTGCTAGAGTTCCATTAAGCAGATTATATGGAGATTCTGTTGGATAATCGATGTCCTTTTCGAGAACTAAAGGATCCATATTTTGGGGTAAAAATGTCGATAATGTTACTTATACAAAACATACCGAGTGTTTGAGATACTATAGAATGAATACTGAGCACAAGACATGTCTCATGTATTTCCTAGACCTCAGTGCCATGGCTCATGTCTCAGACGCATGTAGACATGTAGCACAGGTGAAATTACCATCATAAACTCTCCAGAACAATGCTAACAACCCCTTTGAACAAGCTTATGTGGAGAATACGCAAAACAGATGCCACCTTTGTACTGGAATTTGAAATGGCCAAACTTCTTACTGATATTGCGAGATCGGCGGGATATAGCGTTGTTTTTTATCATTCCAAAAATACATTTCTCTTGTGTTTTGTTGACCAGATCGTTTCCCAAATGTGGAATCTGCATTATTTATGTTACAAAATGTCATTGTTTCATGACAATGGTCAAGCATAGAAGTAATTACGAAGGTGTTAAAATTCAAGAAACAAAAGCATAATACTTATTCTGAAAGCAATTTGATTTTTTTTTTTATATTAAGATTTTGTGACAAGATAAACAATAGAGATAGTTGTACTTCAGTGCTTGATCCCTCCTTCCCACTCTCAGTGCGAGTTATACCATACTTCCTGCAAATATTGGCCGAGTAAAGCTGTTGACAGAAATCTGTAAAAACAGTGATTAGTGTAATCTTAACCATGGATGTGTAATCTGCGAATGACAGATGGGCCCTTTTCATCAGCTCACAGATTGTAATTTTCGAGAACATCCGTATTCAAGCACTCCCAGTGAGAAAAAAGTGCTCATTCACAATGTAGATTGTATGAGCTTGCACAGACATTACTGGCAATACTCGCATCAACTGATGGGCAGATTGTGCAAGCACACCTGAATTGAGATAACAACAACAGCTATGCATATTAAGGCAGGTGGTATCACAAAGCCTCAAAATTATTTTCACCACTTTAACACGATTAAAGCATACTAGTATGATATGTTTGTAATTTAAACTGTATTAGTCTTATCAAATGCAAATTAAGTACTTTTAAGGACCATTAATGAAAAAAAAATTAAGGGCCTATCAGCAAATGGGAACTGAATAAATTCAAATAAAGGTATTATTCTATGCCTGAACTTCACTTTTGTAATACAATCCTAAGAATAAAATATATCTGTAAGTAGGATGTATTATTATTAAACATATTTATAAAACAAATTTGAGAACAAAATTAACTTTATGAAATTTATCAAGTAGCATTCAATATTTTACACTTATAATAGTTGGATATATTCAAAAAAAGATTAACAACATTTTACTTACGTCTTATTAACAGTTAACTTTATGCTAATTTTTCTTTTAGGTCTCATTTTGTCACAGACTTGCTTTAGTCTTTCTCGATAGATTTTTATGTGAAACGGCATAAGTAATCAGCATGATTTGTAACTGAAGATTTACTGTTGCTTCCCTAAAGAGAGACCTACTGATCAGATCAAATCTGAAAGCCTGACATAGGCACAGTTGGAAAAGTTTTGAAAGTTAATTGTGCTCTGTCTAATGCAGTTAACATCGTTCAGCTTCGTGTAGAGTTCCTGGAGTTGTAACCATACACTACCCTCCAAAAGTTAAGGAACATGTTTTTGGCGTCTTATTTGAGAATGAAGCAAAATAGAAACAAGTAATTTAGCAGACATGTTCGCTAAACAGTCCTTTAATGAATGTGACGTAGAATGCTTAAGATCAACACAAACATGAATTACAACAAAAAATTGCACCTTTGGCATTTGCACAAACAAAATTTACAACAAATTTACAACAAAAATTGCACTTTTGGAAATCCACTCTTTGAGAAACAGCATAACACAGTTTTTCTAGGAAAATTGTGGTGTGGAAAACCCATTACAAAAATGGATTCTAATAAGGAATGTGTTCACCCCAGCTGCAATACATTGGCGGCTTAATTGACAGCATGTTTAGCTTCGATATGTAAAAGGAACTTGGTACATTAGTGATGGATATGTTTCTGACTAAATGATTTGTATCAGCAAACAGTAATTATTTCATCGACATGACAGATTATGACTTCAATTTCTACAAAAGCATTTTATCTCTAATTCTTAGAATAAAAGATGTTTGTAATTTAGTTTGAAAAATAACGGCTATCGCTTCGTAACAGTTTCCAAACTATGGAGATGGAATAGATGACAGATGGAAAAATACATTTAAAAAATAATAATGAAATTAAACACATGCAATAACAAATAAACATAAATATAAAATTTTCAAAATTAAATTCACATTAAAATTTATGAAATGAACAAAAAAAAGTTAGTTAATAATAAAATATGACGCACATGATAAGGGAGATGAAATATTTTTGCTACCAACTTAAATCCTACTGTTTTAACCATAATCCATATTTTTAACCAAACATTTTAGGCTAATTATTTCTTTTTCCTTCCTTTTAAAACTAAATTTTATCTGAGTTATATCCAGTATGAGAAATTAAGAAACAAAATTATGCATCCTCTTTTTTGCAGTTTGAACATTGTATTTGATCTGATATTTTGTCTATAACTAGATTTATGGGTAGAGCATCACCGACACATTATTAGACTAAAAGAGAGTATTTAATAATGAGAACTAATCTTATGAATTGCCATCTGATTCTAGGTGAAATTTAGTTTGATAAATACTTCCTTTAAACAGAATTTTACAGTATCTACTTTATTTTATTGAAACTTTATGTGCATTTAAATGTCACTTACGATTTATAGTCAGACTTTTGTGTTTATATATAACAAAAGTAGTTGACCATCCATAGTTACAAATGACTTTTAGCCTTCTGTGGAAGTGGTTGTTTTAAATAAATGGAGATATACTAAGTGTCTAATAAATGGAGATATACTAAGTTTTGATTGGGGTCTTAAATGTAACTCTCAGTTTTCTGATTGAGGCCATCTGCATTTTTATGGTCCCATTGATCAGTGGTATTAAAATTGCCATAAAGTTTTAATACCACTGATCAATTGGAAGTGGATGTTATGAAAGGATTCACTGTATATGATTAGCAATTTTTAAATTATGTACAATCTGGTATCAGATTATTCAAATACAAAAGGATGGTGCAGCTCTTCTGAACACAAACTCCACTGTGCGCCAGCTGCTAATAAGCACTGTCTGCATACAGTAAATAGCATTTATGAAGGCTGTTTGAGTGAAATGGATACATGCTTTATTTTCTCAAATATTGATCCTAGATATTCATTTCCAGTTATTAAGCTTGTTAAAATAAGGTAAATAATTTAATACGATCAATTCTAACATTGTAGGTGGGAAAATTCTGAGAATAAATATTCTAACTTTTCACATAGTTCTCACAGAGTAAAAAACTATACACTCATCTTGTTTTAATTGAACTAAGAACAAAAGATTTGAGACTTTGAAGTACAGAATTCAAGTAGATATTCTAGAAAGAATGTACCAGTTTAGATGAATTTTCATGCATATAAATGATAAAATTCTGAGGCATTTGAGAAAGAGATGTGAACACAGACTGCTAGTCTTTGGCACGACGTGGCTCTATTTTATGTAAAACAGCTTTTGCTGTTAAATTTGCAGCTAGTCTCTTTGAAAGTATTTATTAAGTATATCTCTACAAATATTTTTATGCAATGTGTAATTTTTCACACATGAAAATTTTCGTAACTAATTAAAGTACAATTAACACTTTATTAATTGGAATTTTCACTGGAAATAACCCATACTAATAATAATAATATAATTTTGCTAAGAAGAGAGTGAAATCCTACTACTTGCAGTGCTGCATACTGCATTTTATTTTTGCCATGTGGAAATTATTCTCATAAAATTCTGCATCTCATTTTAAGCAAGTAATTGGATGTACATGTCTAATATAGGTTAAGGAAACAAAGTCTGCAGTCACCCTTTTTGAAAAATATGCACACAGAAATTTATTGTCAAATACATTAATGAAGTATGCATATTAAATGGAAAGTTTTCTCCATTTTTACACTAAAATTTTTAGCTCTTTGAAAAAATTACACTATTTACAATATTAAATTATACTTATTACAATTCTTATTCCAGAATAAAAACAGCAGAAAAAGGGGTTAATATATGTAAAAAGTTTTGAAAAAGCTTTGATTTAAAATTATGATATGAATCTGAACTTGAATCTGTAACTTCACAAAACAAACTATACATTCTTGATTAACTTAAGCTTTCGCTTTGTTTTAATCATTTCTATATTTATACAAAAATTATATATAAATGCATTCTTTATCACAAATAAAATACATGCATAGCTTAAAGCTTGATAAATCTATATAAATAAACATCTGAAGAGTTTTAGTTTTGAATGAAACTATATTAGTATTATAAAAAGATACCTACTATTATTATGCATTACTGAAAAAAGATATCATTTTATGTATCATATAATCATCTGCATTACATTTATTACAATTTTTTTAATTGGCAGACAAAATACAACAATAAATATAGGCCATGATGGATAAAGATTCAGCTGACTTGAATCTGTGACATCTGAATCTGCCACAAGGTCACTATATCAATTTGATTTCTCTTTCACTTTAATTTAATTATGTTCACACAGGCAATCCAGTGCTAAATAAACAGCATAAATAAATTCATCATAGGTTAAAAGATAAGATTTATGCATAGTTCAAAATTAGTAAAGAGCTACAGGAAATGCACTTTATATAAAGCTCATTTAATTCCTTCAGTACAGAATTTCAGTTTACATAACAACACATACATAAAAAGTTTCCCATTGAGCTGCTTAAAAGATCTTGTTGAAAATGCATCTAATAGTTAGTAGATAACTTTTTATGAGTTTTGCTCTAGTCAGCATAGTGATTAATGGTGACTGGCCAATAAGCTGACGCTGATGTGTGCAGGTTCAACTGGCATGTAAGGATTAATTGTTTGTGTTATCTCCTCTCTCTTGCAACTGCAATATCAGTCTACCAAGCTAGGCAAAATTCTCACTGATGATATAATGAACCTTCAGAATCATTAAATTTTTGAGACTAAGGTTCTCAAAATGTCACTTACACCCTTCCTAAAAACTGATTCCACCTCTTTCTCTGCTAACTGTTATCTTAACCACTACATCACAAGAACAGACAGAAAATATGTCTTTAATTTTTGCTGCTCGTTCAAAGGTTTTAAGTGGTTAAAGGAAGGAGCAAGTTTCAGCTTACCAAATTAAACGGTGGTGAGCTATCATCTAACACATTTTATTTAGGTCAGGCCCACTATAAAGCCATTAAGTTGCTGCAAACAAGAGTCTTGAAAAATCAGCATATCCTGATCAAGGATGAAACCTAAGGCCAACTGAATTACACTAACCATTACACTGCAAATATATATGAAAAGCCTGCCTTTAAAAGTTCCTTACAAACTGAGCAATACATTTGGCTTTTCCCAGAAAATGGCAAATCAGCTAATGACTCACTGTAAAAGAAGGGAATATTCACAAGTTTCACTAACTATTATTCACTAACCAACATTGATGAAGCAACATTCTTATTTCCAAACATTTTGCAGTTAACCAAATTTTTAAGATGTTTCAAGAATTATCTACCCTGTGAATCAATTTCTAATTCACCACAAAGAACAATTTGCAGATACGCTGATTATTTTTAACTTATTCCCTTTTGCTCATCTTGCAGATTACATTTTTTTAAAAATCTTTATAACAAAAGCTGAAAAATCCTTCCACGTTAGTAAAAATGAACTTCATTCAGTTTTTTATACATTCATCCATTTTCAGACGATATGTTAAACACTATTTCATTGAGAGGAGTACTAGAATCAATCAATGAAGAAGAAAATCCAGATTCCGCGGTAGATTTATTTTCTACTGCTGATAATAATGATCGCTTTCTACCATATGTGATCATTTGACGACCATGAACTTTTGGAACAATTTCTTCAGCAAATGCAGCACAAGGTGAGGACCTCTTTCTTGTCTTAGAAAGCAATGATGGAACTAAAATGAATTTAAATAGTGAAAGAATTATTTTATTTTGCCACATGTATAAAAGTTTTAATGTATATATTATCTTTTAATAAAAGCATAATGATATAAACAGATCTTTTAATACATACACACACACATATATATATAATGTAAATACACACATATGTGTGTATCTCTCTCTCTCTATATATGTATATACATTGTTGCGTTCGTACGGATTCGTAATAGATTGAATGCACAAGTCTGATGAAAAGTTAACAAAATTTATTCTTATCACAAGAAATAAAACAAAATGTTGACATTTTTGACATTTTTTCGCACAGATATTCGTACAATATCACACAGTAGTTAATATTTTAAATTACTAAAACATTAAATAGAATGCAATCCAAAGTACAGAGAAAGCTAATCCGATCTCACAGCGAATTTGCTACCATCAACAACAAAAACAGTAAACAACTAATAAACAACTGAACTGAGATGTTTTGCTCTGGCTTTTATAAGCTTTTTAATTATGCACGAGAACATTCTGGTATTTTCTTGAGGTTTCTAGAAAGCAAAAGAGCACAATTACGAGATATCTATTTATTAAATGTTAAATGCGCGTTAAGAGTACGATTACGATATCTATTTATTAATGCGCCTGCTCCTGTATTTTTATATTTTTGGCACAGCTTTATCTTAAAACTCATCACATGCTGCATTGCATGGAGAAATAAAACAATTTTAATTATAGTTCTACTGAAAATAGCAAATTAAATACAAAAACCATAACCCTTCACAAGGACTGCACTGGACAGGAAGCCAAACTTACAACTAAGGCAAAAATGCAATAATGAACATTACATTACAATAACAAACAACATAAACAATTGCAATAAGTAACTTAAAACAAATCAAATACTAAATAAAAATAAAATACTATCAAATACTAAATACAAATAAAATACTAAATACAAATAAAATACTATCAAATACTAAATACAAATCAAATACTATTAAATACTATCAAATACTAAATACAAATCAAATACTATTAAATACTAAATACTATCAAATACTAAATACAAATCAAATGCTATCACATTTAGAAACAAAACAGACCAGGGTCTTGTACTATTTACATTATATACACTACGTACTATGGCCATAGTAAGGAGCTAACCTGTCGTAATGAACGACTTAGAGTTCTTAATGCTTAGAGTTCAATAACTTACGGATCCAAACCCTGAAATCGTTCAGCCTGTTTAGGACTGTATATAGACCATCCCAAGGTGACTGTAGTTTTGGACAGCGTCCTTTCTGTTGAGTCGGATTCCACAACCATACCTTATCCCCTTATTTGAATCAGTGTCCAGTAGCTCTGGTGCCAAATCGGGTGTTCATATTCTCTGTCCCCAAGTTGACTCGCTCTCATGAAAGTCGTGCATAACTTCAAATTGGGCCTGGAGATATTAATGTATTCCTTAGGTGATGAAAGCACATCTGGAGGGCAATCAAACAAAAACTCACAAGGCAGACAAAGGTCACAACCAAACAGCATCTGAGACAGGGAATAGCAGGTAGCCTGGTGTTTCTCTTCCACCCTAATATGATTTCGGCAGCTTTCTAAGCAGGGTTTTTTCAGACAAGATGTCGACGTTTCCAGGTGATGATCACTTCTGACAGTGCTTAAATTGTGCCGAAGCAAAAATAAGATGAGCTCTGGTACTTCTTTTTATAAAACTGAACCACAATTTAAAGGGGGGAAAATTTAGAATTCCTAACGTTTTAGTTTAACAATAAGCAGACTTTGTAATACACTATTTCCCTAGAAATATGAACTCATGAGAACATGAGGCATTCAAGTAAAGTCCCCTCACTCACATGCGGAAACCTTTCCCTTTAATTTGGAGGAGTTTGTTTAGGAATGCGTAAATTTGTCGCCATGCCATCATACCTAGTGTACTGTTATCGATGCTTACAGTTATTCTTGCAGGAAGGAAAGTTTGTGTTCTTAAATGTGCGTCAAGTGACGGCGAGTACAATAAGAGTGAAATACTGAGATAAACTGCTCAAACACATCATATACATTGTCTTTGCACAGTATCCACTAATAGGGGAGAAGCATAACCAGCAAGTTTACATTCATCCTTAGGAGGAGTCACATTCAGGACTCATTTTACCCCTGAAACACATCTGCTTGATGGCTACAATTATATCAGCAGAGAGCCATGGTCAAAGAGAACATTCTCTCTCACCAAGATTTCCCTCATTTTTTGTTTCCACACACTCATATCCTCATTCTGTTTCACCCAGGAATTTTCATTAGCTATACTTTAAGTATATTTAATTTTTGAGATGATAAAAGACCCCACCCCCCTTCTACGATCAGAGCTTAAATTGGGCCAGAGCCCACCGGATCTCGGCTCTGGTACTTCTTAGTTTTTGTAATAAATCATAATTCTAGCTGGAATGCACCGGAGCCCTGAATAAGAAAGGCTGCGGCATTTCTTTTATGTAATTGAATAACAATTTCAGTAGAAATTTTATTTTAACAATAAAATTATATTAAAAACTGCTTATTAAATTTCAGTTTATCTCTTTACATTTAATTACTTCAATCTTTAATTATTTCAATAAATAATAATTAATTATTGAATAACTATCAATGAAATAATAATTAATAAACATTGATTAATTAGCTATTAATAAATTTGATAATAATTAACTATTTAATTTTAAAATTATTAATGAGTTTAATAGTCATTTTATTTATTTATTTACTCTTGTTCTTCTTTGCTGACAGTCTACCATAGGGCTCCCACACTTCTAATCTTAGAAATTAAGCCCTGTTTTCTGATGATGGATAGTGGCATCATCTGATGCTAAAAGCAGTCTGTTGTTTTGGAAGTTCAAGGAAAAATTGTGTTTCCTTAAAAAGTCCAATCTGAGTATGCAAGGATCTGAAATATCTGCCACATATGCTGTGTGATAATAGGCGGCACTTTCAAACAATATGTTCACTTTTAACTTTCCAGCTACTTCGATTTCATCACCAGACACAGTCTGGGATGTAAAGGGTGGCATCCAAATGAGTTTATCTTTAAATTATTCAGCTAAATCTTTCAAAATGATGGTAACATTAGCTCCTGTGTCAATCATCATATTGCAAGGAATTCTATTAATGTGCCCATTGATGGATAGTCCATCACTGTTGCCACTCACTGTAGAAATTTTGAGCACTTTAAAACATGGTTTTTCATTATCTGCAAGCTCCGCTCCTCGATATGGTCATTAATATGTTTCCTGCATAGTTGCTGGAAAACAGTATTCTCCGTGCCCTGGGGTGTTCTGCTGGAAAACAGTATTTTCCATGCTTCCAGCACTTTGGTTTCTGGTCACTCCTTTTTCATCTCATGGCATTTAATTGTCTATTCAACTCATCCATCTTATTTTCCGTGCTCTGGGGTGTTTTGCAGATCCTTCGTATGTGGCCTTCAGTACCACATTTCCAAAACTTTACAGCCAGTTTGTCCTCAATCCTACTCCGTATCAAAGCATTGACTTGTATGGATCTAACGAGACAATTTGTCTGGATAATCTAAACGAGCCATTAATTGATCCACTGGCTCGTGGACACACGTCTGACTGAGTAGAGACCTCTATAAGTTGCTTGGCGGACTGCTTCGAATTTCATTGTGTACACTAGAGCACATTTTACCTCCTTGACATCCGCCATTCGTTGAGCTTTCTCTATTTCAGGATCCTGAATGCCATCTATGAAATATTGCAGGGACAGGATTTCCCTTGCTTCTGTCGGTCGCTTCGAAAAGGCGAGGTGAGACAGCCTTTCGACAACCGTAGCAAGCTCCTGGAGTGTTTCGGTGAGCTGCTGTTGATGGGATTTTAGTTGAGGCCTACTGTAGTCTTTCAAACATTTCTCCCCAAAGTGCAGCTCCAATGCACTGGACAGAGATCTAGCCTTTGGTTTTCTGGGAGAGTTTGAAGGATATCTGCTCTCAGAGAAGCGGCAAGATTACAGTCCTTAGCTTGGGAATCCCATCCATTCGCATCTGCCACTATAGAAAATTGTGTCTATGCACTTGAAAAAAAAGGTTTTCCCATATGTTTCAGAGATGGACGAGCAGGCATCGGTAAAAATTTAAAACCATCTGTATTGCTCCCTGCCGTCACTACAAATTTCTTCAAGGTATCATCTTCTTTGACAACTGCAGTAACCCTGTCATCAATTTGTTGTTCCAAGGCAGACACTCTCTCTTCTCTTTGTTCTTTTACAGGAGAAACTCTTTCTTCAATGTGTTTAAATTTATTTTCAACTGCATGAATTCTGCCTTCTATAGCCTCGATTTTATTTTCTACTATGCAGGTAATTTCTATTTTCATTTCTTCTTTACGTGCTTTAGTCTTTCCTTGTATAGATTTTATCTCTTCTTGAACTGATTCTTGACCAGCTTCCATCTTTCCGTTAATGGATTCTTGACCAGTTTTCATCTCTTCTTGGCCAACATTTATTTCTTCTTTAAATGCAACAAAGACTGCTAAGAAGCTGTCTTAACTGCTCTTCCATCGCTCTTGCGATTGGCATTCAAACGCCACTCCTGGCACCAAAAAGTGCTGTGTGTGTATTCATAATAGACTGAATGCACAAGTCTGATGAAAAGTCGACAAAATTTATTCTTATTACAAGAAATAAAATAAAATGCTGAAAATTTTCCTCACAGATATTCGTACAGTATCACAATATTTCACAGTAGTTATATTTTAAACTACTAAAACGTTAAATAGAACACAATCCAAAGTACAGAGAAAGCTAATCCGATCTCACCGCAAATTCGCTACAATCAATAACAAAAGCGTAGTAAACAACCAATAAACAACTGAACTGAGATGTTTTGCCCGCCTTTTAAAAGCTTTTTATTCATGCACGAGAACATTCTGGTATTTTCTCGAGGTTTCTGGAAAGCAAAAGAGTACAATTACGAGATATCTATTTATTAAATGTTAAATGCACATGCTCGTGTATTTTTACTTTTTTGGCATAGCTTTCTCTTAAAACTCATCACACGCTGCATTGCACAGGGAAATAAAAAAATTTAAATTATAATTCTACTAAAAATAGCAAATTAAATACAAAAACCATAACATATATATATATATTGATACAGACACAGACATACACACACATGTATATACAGCAAAATGGAAAGTAAAAATAATTAAAATATTTTGATTGTTATAAATTTCATCAGTGACCACCAATTAATTGTCAAGTTTGGTGATACCAAACAATACAAGAAATATAAATTTATAACCAAAACAAAGTAATAAAAATAGCAAAATAATTTTTTTTTTTTTTTGCTTAGCGGGGGGGGGGGGCAATTCCAATTTTCAATTTACTATCAAGAGAAAAATCAAGTTGTTGCATTTTTTCAAGAAAGAAATATTTAATCCTCCACCTAAACTTGCAAAAATGGGTATCAAATGAACCTGTGCAGAACCCATATAAAGATTCTTTTCTGGTAATGTGAAAAACTGCCAGAAAAGAAAGGTCTTTGGTAACTAGTTTGTTGCTTAAAAAAATCATATTCATGACAGTTGTAAGCTGCTATTGCCAATTTATGGTCACCTAAAATATTAATTACAATTCTTTTTTAATTTGGAACTTTTACTTTTGGAAATACAGTCAAAAGTCTTTAATCCGGACATCCATAATCCGGAATGATCTATAATCCGGACCTCAAAGCTACAAACTTGCAGTTTACGCATGTGCATATGCATTTATGCATGCACATAATACGTTTACGTATATGTTAATACGTACGCGTTTAATGTATAACGGACGTTATAAGCTAAGCTAAAATTATCTATTTCAGTTAATGTTGCAGATTGCGTTGTTCCTTAATCTTCGAATTGGATCCTGCTTATTATTTTTTGCAGACTGTTAGAGCAATTTTATAAAAGTAAGCTTGAACTTTCTGGAGCTGCCAAAGGATCTACAAAGCGAAAGCATGTTTCGATGTCCATCAAACAAAAAGTGGAATTGCTGCAAAAAATGGATAAAAGCATGAAGAAAGTTACAGAGAGGTTAGTGAAAAAGAAAAAATTTAATCAATTTGTAATAAAACACCACACTTTTAGATTTAAAAAATATAACCAATTATTGAGTAAGTTATTTATAATGATGCACTTGGAGAGAAACTAACACTTTTCATCACGACATCAAAACGCAAATTCGGAATATGGGCACTTAATTTTCTGGACAACTTTGAAAAATTAAATTAGAACCGAAGAAATTAATCGCACTTCAATACCACTTTTGATGATGCCTTAAATCATTTCCATATTTGTTGACGCATGTATATTTTGATGTTACAGTGATCTTGGCCTGATTGAGAATCCAAATGAATATTTTGCTTTTTCATTTTATCCATTCGTTAAATGATGCGAGATTAGTTGACATAAATGTTCCATTAAAGTTAATAGCACATAATCCAATCATGTACAACTAATTGATATATTAAAAGCATAAGGAAAAGCCGGAACAGTGTCCATGCGTGCTTAGATCCATATTGAAGAAGAATTTTGATTGCGTAGTATTTAAAGAGCTTGGCAGTCATGGCAGTTTTAATTCCATTTTTATTTGCAATTGATATTTGTGGCCACAATCACTTGGTACTCTAGTCGTGCCTTTCCACACAAGATTTACATTTTTGATACTGTTGAGATAGAAAGCAAGTCAGCGGAATTACATCTTAGCTCAGTAGGGAGCAAAGCTGAATTGCGTATTTAATCAAGATGGAAGCACGGCAAAGAGAAAAGTTTTGGTTTGCAATTTGGCGATTGGTCAAGAGGCATCTGCATTAAGGGTTACATAAGATCACATGATTAATTTGAATGACGCAGTTTAGACTTACAGCGCTATTTTTAGGACAGATAGATGAAGTTCCCAAATGAAATAGAAAATAAGAAGTTATAGTGAATTAAATTTAGAAGTTTGCTTTCTTATTTTTTATCTTACATATATATTAATGTGTAGTATTGTTTATTTGTTTTATTTGTGTTGTGTGGTGATGTGTAATAAATGTGTGGATAACGCTACCAAGTGCAATATTATTATTTTCCTGCTATGGTCAGTATTTTCAGGAAAAGAAAACGAAACCAGCCTCGTTTTCTTTCCCTGCTGGCAACGGCAAGAGGCAACAAAGTGGTGCAGCCGGCAGGATTTTTGAATAGGATGGAAGGAAAAGAAAATCACTAGGTAGTAAAAATAATAAGTAAATATGGTCATAAAGTGTTACTCAAAGGAGTATAAAGCGAAATTTGGTGATAGTTCACGAATGGAGCTATGAATTTGGAAGATTTACGCAACACAAAAATGGCCCCATTAAGGCCACATATGTGAATCAAAAGTGGTGTATTCATCAGCTTAGTGAAATCGTGATGTGCTAAATAGTTATGTGTTAAATCAGTGTTAATGTGTATTATGAGGGAGATCAAATCTTGGATCATGTTAAGTTATGTGTTGTAAGTGTTAAAGTGGTGTTCATGATTAAATTTTACAGCTTGATGTTGAGCTCTTCATTTGACATTTCTACTATCAGGATCAAAGGAAAGTCCCTCTTAATTTCTTAGGAAGCACAAAATAAATAAATAAATAAATAATAAATAAAGAGAGCTCCCTCCTAATAATTACTATATTAATTGAGAAAATTAAAATTATTTTGATGTTTGTTAATAACTTGATTAGAATGTTGGGCGTTAATGCCAGTAGACACTGAGAAAATATATTTAAAATATGAATGAGAAATATAAGTTTCTTTTTAGTAAGAAGATATTACAGTACAAAGTCCATAATCCAGACTCGGACTTCGGCGATTCCCAATTATAGATCATCAATTTAAATCTGGTAAGATGGCATGCAGAAATTATACAATTAAAAATATGAAACCGTAATTTATGAAATAAAGAGCAATTATGATCTAAAGGGTATCAAAATTTACAAAAAAAGCTTAATATTTATTTGTTTACTTTATTAAACATTTCTTTCAATGTATGCTTCGTTTCATGTGCTAATACTTTCTCTTTAATTCTATAAACAGACATAATTTCTTGTTCAGTTACAAAGTTCCACCTATCGAAAGCGGTATTTTCTGGATTTAGAACCATACTACAGACTTCGGCGTCCATTAATTGATTGATGATTGGGGCATTGTCGTTGCAATGAAAAACTTCTGTTATATCATCTTCATTTATTACCGCTTCACCACATTTCTTTACAAAATCCAATAACTAGAAAATTTCACCTTTAGTTTGCAATGTCCGAAAACCTTCAAATTTGCGGCTATAATCTTCATCATCCTCACCATGAAATATGGTAGCTGGCCATAAATTATGCCAAGCATTTTTTAAAGTATCTGTAGACACATCCTCCAAATGCGCATACGTAAATCATACGAAAAAAAAGTTTAAAAAAAAAGATTTAAGAAAAGGGTAAATGTTAACACAAGTTTTGTAAGTTTTTTTCCCCCTTTTTGGCACTATGAACATAATCTGGAATATATAAACCTTTTTTAATTATCCATTTAAAATAAATTGCTAAATCATAAAAGTAAATTAAGTGTACAGGCATTAAACTTCTATTTTACTTCAAGCCCTATTGAAATACAAGAGTAATTTGTTCCATGTTATTTAAAATGTGATCTTATTTTGAATACTGATTTAATTTATGTATCCAAATGAATTTATTCTTACATTCAAACTGCTTAATATTATAGGTAAATTGTTAATAGTATTTTTCTCTTAATCATAACATGAGTTACTTCTCTTTCCTATGATTTTTTTTAACTGATGTTATATTAATTGTAGATATTTACCCCAGTTAAACAGGAGACTACTGTATTTCATTCTGTGATTTTCCAAACAGTCTTGCCTCAGTGATAACATCTTTTTCTTGGTAAAATTATTTAATCATGACTGTTTGTCATCTGACAGTAGCTCAGATTGTGTGATTTATACTGACTTTTAATTTCATTCTTAAAAAAGTTCAACTGAAAATCTCATCAAAAATTGCTGGATTAATGTTAATTCAACCAGCTTATTCAGAAAGATATCACAGCATAGTTATTTGTCAGCTTGTAAAATGTTAATGAATTAAACATTTTACCTTTCTTGGTGTTTTGATGCATTATTATAATTGATGCAACTTTAAATGAAAAGTACCAAACATTTTTGTTTCAAGAATTCTCGTCAATTTTTTAGTGTTGATACAATGTTAAGTTGTAAAGTTTAAAACCTGTTGTTAAATAGTGTTGATAAAAGGCTAAACATTTTTTAATATATTTTGATTGCTTCATTTTCAAGAAAATTTTATGTATCAGAAGAAAATCTTTCATACATACCAGAGAAAACACCAAAAAAACTAAGGCCAGATATAATAATATCTGTAGAATTTCCTTTTCTCTCAAGATTTTTCATCATTATTTCTAAAGCAGGAAGAAAATCCTTAGTTTGATTTTTTACTCCATCTTTACTCTCTGACAGAAATTTTCAAACTTTTCCAATCTTCCTATTGGATAACGAAAATTTTTTTTTTAAAATAAAAAATATATATTTTTTTAATATTTGTAATGTTAAAAAAAGGTCCAACAATACTGTTAATTATTATGAAAAACAAATCAGTTAAACATCATTAGAAATAAGCTTTCAGATGATATCAACATAGTATGCACCATTTTTAGTAAGCATATAATTTATCAAAATAATATTTCATTTCTCATTCAGTTTAAACTGCACATTATAAGAAGCACTATGGGAAGTAATATAATTACACTATTTATTAAAATTATAGGAGCTTTAGTTCTTGGTATGTTCTATACTTAGTTTGCACATGAAAAAAAGGGTACGTTTCCATTAAATTTTTTACACTTTTTTGTTCTGCCATATTTCCTCAGCACCTGGTGTCTAGAGTTTGGTTTGCCTTTTTTTTTTTTTTTTTTTTTTGGTGATAATTGTGTTCATAACCACCACCTTTTTTTTATCTAATCAGTTTATTTATTTATTTTTAAAATTATATATTTATTTATTTTACAGCAATGGATTGATTTCATGGCTAAGGATTTGATAAGAGATTAATAAGAAAGTCCCTTCAAAAAAGAGATTTTTCGCAAAAAAGAATTGTGTTAATATAATAACCTCATAAAATTAAAACATGACTTGACAGTAAAATGGCTATGCAGCCTTCACTCAAGATGGAGGCAACCCAACAAAATTGTGGTTTCTAGGATCATGCATTCCTTTTGCTACTGCTCATTCATTTACTTATGGAGTCAAGTGCTAACTTCTATTAAGTTTTGTGAATCAAAAGTTGCTTCAAATGCATGACAACAAAACAGTTAATGGAATAACTACATGACAGAGGTATGTGCCAATTCCTTTTTATCTCAATCTAAATTTAAAATTGCCAGATGCCCTAAAATTGTAGAAGCTGTTAAAGCTAATGCATAAAAAGGATAATAATAATAATAATGTTGGCTGAATTTGGCCCACACAATACGTTTTAGAGAATTCCATCTGAAATTGGAGAATGTTCTCTTGTAGCTCTTCTTAATCATCTAGTATCGAATCAAGAGTGGGAGGAAACAAACAAGCCAAAATGTGCCAATACAACACTGAAAATGTGGGGTATGGCTTTAAGAGAAAAGTACCTAAGGAAAGCTTTAAGTTGAATTAAATTGTTCTTGGGTATATGGCTAGCATGCTTAATCAACTAATTAACCACTCACATACTGCGAAAAGAGCTGAAGTTCCTACAGCAGTTTCAGCAAAAGTATCCCCCTAGTTAGTCTAGTGCAGTGTTTTTTAAACTTTTCGTGGCCACTTTTTATCATGAAGATTTTTTCACAACCCCAGGTATTAAATATAAAATAAAGATATAAAAATTACTATTTTTTTCATAAATAACTTTATTTTTGGTAAACAATGAACATTTGAGAAAAAGTATTTTTGGCATTTGTTTTAAGTAAGTGAAAATTAATGAAGGAAAATCACATTTTAATCAAACAGATACTGCATAACAAATGCAATATTTGACACATTCTCCTACATGTGCCTGACACACTCTTGGAAAAATTCAGTTCTAGCTCTAATCCAGAATTTAGTCAAGGATATTTGCGGAGACTCAAGTTTTGAGTGTTCGATAGCTCAAGAAATTCCTATTAGGCTTTATATGGGAGGGGATTATTCTCATTAATGTCAACCAAAATGGTTTTTTAATTCAAGATAACTTTTTGAAATCAAAATTCAGAATAAAGTATGTGCAAAACTGTGTTTTAAAGGTTTTAAGTGATGTCTAATAATTTTTGTAATTAAAGTTTTATAATTATTTTTTCAGTTATAAAATTGTTGATATTCGAAAGCATTTCAAATGAAGTATTTTCAACTCTGTTTTTGCAAATGTTGAACTTTTAACAAAACATTAAATTTTATCATTCAAAGTAAATAAATTGCTATTTCTTCCTTGAAGAGACAAGATTAAAAAGTTTAGTTTTTACAAAAATATCTGATACATAACACAGCTTTGATAGTCATAAGTCAGTTTGAAAAACAGCAGCAAGATCAAACTTCTGTTCAGTTAAAAATATATAATATATTTTTCTCTTTTAATTGCAATAATCTTGAACTTCACACTCTTGACATCCATCTTACTTGTGCATGTAATAATATTTTTCCCCTTGTATTCGAATTCCAAGCTTTTACAGAGATTTTAAAAGAAATGGTTATTAAGCACAAGGTTTTTAATAAAGTTTTTTTATTTTGTCACGATTCTGAAATATGCCACTCAAATCTGTTTCTTTTCTTTTTTTCCTCTTCTTCTTCCCCCCCCCCCCAGTATGAACCTCTTGATAGACATGAAACTGTGTAAAATTTACATGTTCATTACCAGCAGCTTTAACAAATGGGTACTTTTCCGTTTTGCCGGCACAAATTTTGCTAAGCAGACTTTATTGGCGACAATGCACAGTATACACATAAAAAATGTTGACAAATGTTACTTCTAAGAATTTTTTATTTTGACAGTATAAACATTTTAATGTCGTTTAAAATTTTGTAAAAAGACATTAAGAAGACATTTAAGAATTTACTATGCTTTCATGGTACAACATCCTGATTCTCCAGTTTATATCACATGACTCCAAGTGATCTCATCTCACGTAAACTACGCTACAAAAATCTAATTCTTTCAGTAATTCTCTACATTAATTTCAAGTTAAATCTTATTTGGAATACAAGCTTAAATGCAAGAATTATTTCAATTCATATGAATAGTTTACTCATAAATTATGTAAAACTGCAGTGCTTTACATTGCTAATGCATTCTCATTAAAATTGATGAACTTAACCCTTAACTTTGCCTTTTCTATATTTTTGCTATCGGGGGAGCGATGTGATTGCCTCCTAATTGACTTAATTACCGCCCATGAATGGCCTCAGGGCATAAAATTGAACTATCAGGTAAAAATTCTATGTAATTGTGTGCTAGTGTTGAAAGAAACAATCAATCTGATAAGAAATGGCTGTGACTTATTTTGAAAATGAGGAGTAAAAGGTTACCAGCGAGGATATTCCATTTGGCATCAGTTGTACCATTATTGGCATTTTTATCGCCTGCACCGGCAAAACAGAAAAGTACCAATAAATGATTTAAGATCAATATTTTCAGTTGTTATCCCTTTTGCACCATCTGTACATATGACAATGTAATTTTCCCATTCTAAACCTTCAATATATAAAGTAAACTTTATTATTATTTATAGCTTTTCCTTTTGCATATTCTTCCAAAGGCCAATAAAATAATTCTTAGTCAATGTTTTCTTTATAAATGTATCTGGCATATAGTATGTAATAACCCAGCTATATTTTTACACATCAGTTGTTTCATGTTACTGAACTTCAAATTTGGGGCTTTCTTTAAGTTTAAATCAGTTGCTTAAATTGATCATTGCTGATTTCTGAAATTCTAATGGAGGCAGTATCCTCTGAGAAATGAACTTTTTGAATCTCATTGCCATATTTACTTCGAAGTATTTTTGCTATTTTAATAGTAGCCAATAATACTCCAATGCTATATGGTTTTTTACATTAAACAATCACATATAAAACTTTGTATGATGTATATAAATATTTCTTGTTAACAGACATGAATTTCTCAAAATATTGTTTTGCTTTATAAGATATATATATTTTTTCTTTTTAAGATTTTTACAGACATTCAAAATATTCTTTTGGTTTATTGATGGATGAAGGATGCTTGGATTCAAGATGCCTTTTTAATTTTGATGATTTCATACTAGCCGTAGCCAAAACATTATTGAAATTAAACAAAGAGATTGTTCATTACCATCACATTTGCTAAAAGTAAAGTGAAATTAAAGAAATGTCTCCTCATATTTTTTTTTCTTCATCTTCAGTGCCAATCTCTGATTACTAATTCTCGCTTGAAGAAACTTTGTAGTTTTGCTACTCAAGCCTTATCATTATCTTGTTACTCAACTAGTTATCCATAGGTAAATAATTATTCAAACAAATACCAATTACAGTTTAGTAAAATAGTAAAGTATAATATCGTATTGTTCTTTTGATGTACTATACACTTGTTGCAATGAATCAAAAAGAACTGACTATACTGGAAAAGTGTTATCATTACACTAGTCACTGACGTCACATAATAGCAGTCAAGAATACTCGACATACTTTTGTGGTGCATGGCATTACATACTGTGCATTTGTAAAATATTTTGATTCTGAAATAATTTATATGCTAATACTGCAATACAACTGCTATTATGATAAGCTTTCATGATATTTTGCAATATGTAAGTATGGTTTACAGCTCAACTTGGCTACTATTATGATTTTACAATTACACTGCATAGAAAATGAAATATATTAAAGATAATGAAACGATTGCAACTAATGTTTCTTTAAATTCACTTATCTGAATTATTTGCAACCATAATATTTTGCTTTGTGATCCACAGTTTAAGAAATACCTGATTGTGCTGATCTAATGCCTGGTTTCCACAAGTGGGTGATACTGCCAACCATTGACTGCTGAAATCTGGGGCACATTATAGTCCAATTGGGAAGTGTTGAGAAGCAAGTGATCAGTACGAACACACTTGGGAAAATTTGGTTGCCTAACATTTTTTTAAATAAACATTTTTATTGCAGTAGTATTTGTAGCACAATATTAAGTTTCATTGCAGTTTTTTTACTAATCAGCTTGCGGTTGTCATGCAATACTGAAAGTAATAATTTACTTTTTGTAGTAAATAAAGCACAACAAAATATAAAATTAAAAAGAAAAATTTAGGGTACTTTTCCATTATGCACCTGCCACCCATGTTGGCATGTGTAAGCGTAACAAAACATAACGAGAAAAGAACCATTAATGTGGGCCTAATGGAGAAGTACCACATTTATGTGCCATTAACAAATTATTCTTATAATTGAAACTGTTTACAATTAAAAAACCAGCCCAAATGCATAGCAGGTGCATAATGGAAAAGTACCAAATTTAGATATAAAATACTAATATATTTTTTAATGAATTTGGATAGTAATCTGATGCAGAAAAGAAATGCTACAATTTTAAATTAATAGACAGAGAATTTAGTACAATATAATCTAAACATATGACAAAATAATAAAAATTAAAGTTTTTTAAATATTAGAGCAACAATAAATAAAATATAACATCCTTTATGCAAATAACACATATGTTTGAATGATAGGTAAAGAAAATTAAGAATAAATTTTACATTTCAGCAATTAGTATATTTAAAAGAAGAAATAGTAAACACTGATAATTTAAAAATTTCCATTACAAACACTTTTACATTAATACCTCTCTCCAGGACTAGTTCCAAGAACAAGTAACATAGACAGCTGCTTAGGGTATCAATTTTTGGAGTGTGCAAACTAAGCTACCCTGACAAGTAATGACTAAATAAAAGTAAATTTTGCTTTGAATTATTAATAGCTTTAATTAAGAAGTATTAATTGCCTAGGATGCCAAAAATGTTGGAGCCAGTTCTGTCTATATTAGAAGACAATTACTATTGAACAAAAAAATTAGCAAAGGCGTAGCTAGGGTTTTCAGCGCCCCTTTCTCTCTGCCAAGAACGGAAAAATTTCATTCTAAAATTTTGTAACATCAATTTGGCGCCCCCTGAATGCTGCGCCCGGGGACAGATGTCCCCCCTTGCCCCACCCTAGCTACGCCACTGAAAATTAGGTATTTACTCATCATCCTGTTGACAGTGAAACTGTTTCCCCATTTTGGTTTATCCTTGTTTATCTAAACCAAAATTAAATGTTATGGTTGTATTTTTCTCTTGCATTTTAGGGAAAGCAAAATGACAAAGTTGGGATGTGCCTTTTACAGAACAGCAAACAGGAGACTATTTTCAATGGTATCCTACCATAAAATAATTGTCAGCTAAATATGGTTGACAAAACAGTAATAGATTGGAACAATTACTTGCATGAAGTTTGTAATCTTAGCATTTCTAAGAAGTGCTTTCAGATAAGAAGGCCTAGTTCAAGAAATCAAAGAAAGCCTTTTCATGAAGAGTTAAACTGAAGTGGGTCAAATACTGCCTTTTTTATTAAATAAAAAGGCACTAGTTCCTTCAGAATTATGCAAGAATGATTGGTGCAACTTTGACAGGACTTTCGCTAACAGAATAATACATATGTAGCAAAAAATAATTTTGAATATAGTAGTTTTTTATAAAAAATTAATTTTGGCAATATAAATTTAACCCATTTGCACCCACTGTATGTGCCAGCAAGAAATGAGCTATAATAAATATTAAGATTTTTTTTTTTTTTGTAAATTTTGATATTCTTTAGATCATAATTGCTCTTTATTTCATAAATTATGGCTTCATATTTTTAATTTTATAATTTCTGCATGCCATCTTACCAGATTTAAACTGATAATCTATAATCCGGAATCGCCCGACAAGTCCGGATTAAAGACTTTTGACTAGTACCAAAAAAAGAAATACATTGCAAATGGACATTAATATTTACATAAACATATAAAGAAATAATGCTCAAGATTAATATCATATATATGAATTAGAAATTAATACACATTGTTTGCTTTAAAAAAAGATGAATTTACTTATAGTATACTCTTCTTAAGACGCCGATGGCAGATTTTTACAGCAGCCTTTTTTTTTTTTACATTATAGAGCATTAATCGCAAGCTAAGTCAGAGATAATACCAACGTTAAAATCTAAATTGAATAACAAAGTTATATAAAACAAAGTTTACAGCTTAAATAAGTTTGGATTCAAAGTTGTTTCTTCATAAAATTTAAATGAAAATGTATAAAATTCAGTTTCCTAAAAGTAACAACCTTCTGTTTGATATATATTTTGAACAAGACTCTATTGCTTTTGAGGATGTATAGGTGTAGGTCTCTCATCATCAAGAGAAAAGAAATTCTGCAAAGAACAGAGCTATGCAGTTTATACAAAAAGTAAAATAGTAAAGCAAACTAGAAAGTAGCCCCATCTGTCCACAGAAAAAAAAAAAAAAAAAAGTAATGAAACATGAAAAACTAAGTTAATAGCATTTAAAAAGCATTACAAAGAAGTTGGATTGGAATTAAAATCATTAATTGAACAAGATAAATCTTCGTGAATGTGTGAACAATATTTTGACTCTAATATTTTTGTTTATATTTTTTCTAACTGCAACTTCTGAGTAATATTGCACGAGCTTCAAGCAGATAAATCGTTTTCTTTACTCTATAGGTTTTTTTGAATTCATTATCTCTTCATATTATTATTATCTATGTTTTGTAACAGTTTATTTCAGAGAATGGCAATATACTATGTTGTCCTTTTTCTTAGAGAGTTAGTGTAACTTTTGTTTTCATCATTTTAGAGTATGAGTAAAGGAATTATTTAATTATTGTAGTCATAAATAACTAAAGAGTGGAGAATGGTAGAAAGCAAATTAATTTCATTTCTAGCTGAAAAGGAAAATGGTTCTGTTGTTAATGAAAGCTTAACTCAAAATACATTATCCTAAGCTTAAACTTCCGATTTTTTATGGGAATATTAAAAGCTGGTTAGGATTTCAGAGCCAGTTTAAAAAGATCAATACTGATCCCAATTTAGATGATCTTGATAAATTTGTATATTTATTGAAGTCTATGGAAAAAGGGTCATCTGCTGAAGAGTTAATCAAAAGCTTTCCGCCCGGTGGCGAAAGTTATAGTAAAGCTTTACAACAACTGCAATTGCATTTTGGGAAAGAAGACCTTCTTATAGAAGTCTATGTTAGAGATCTACTTTCATTATTACAGTCAAAAGTCGTTAATTCGGACACCCATAATCCAGAATGATCTATAATACGGACCTCAAAGCTACAAAACTTTCTGCGCAAGCGTCGCGTTCACGCATGCGCACAGGCATTTAAGAGTGCGCGCAAGACCTTTACAGCTGCGAATATGTTTGTGCGCATGCGCATTTAATGTGTAACGGAGGTATAAGCTAAGCTAAAATTATCTAATTCAGTTAATGTTGCAGATTGCGTTGTTCCTTAATCTTCGAATTGGATCGGGCTTATTATTTTTTGCAGACTGTTAGAGCAATTTCATAAAAGTAAGCTTGAACTTTCGATTATGTCAAATAGAATTTCCAATATATATTTACTAACATGTAATTTGTATCTACAAAGCGAAAGTATGTTTTGAAATCCTAAATCTGTTTATCAATTTCACGCCGCGGATTGGAAGTTGATCCGTCAGCACTATCCTTATCTTCAGGGCAGATGTTTTTATTTTATTTGGCTTATAATTCCTAGTATTTCATCTTGATGTACTCCGTCTTTGATATGATTTAAATCAAATTCCTCCTCATTATAATTCCTTTCCGATAGTGAAGAAAGTGACACAGAGGTTATTGAAAACAAAAATTTCGACTGACAAATTAGTCAGTATTCTCGACACAACAATTATAGGACTTGAACAGCGGAACTTTGTAACTGAACAAGAAATTATGTCTGTTTATAGAATTAAAGAGAAAGTATTATCACATGAAACGAAGCATACATTGAAAGAAATGTTTAATAAAGTAAACAAATAAATATTAAGCTTTTTCTTTTTGTAAATTTTGATACCCTTTAGATCATAATTGTTCTTTATTTCATAAATTACGGTTTCATATTTTTAATTTTGTAATTTCTGCATGCCACCTTACCAGATTCAAACTGATGATCTATAATCTGGAAAAAATCGATAATCCGGAATCGCCGAAGTCCCGACGAGTCCGGATTAACGACTTTTGACTGTATTATTAAAAAACTCTCAGCAGAAATTTTCATTACGAAAACTCTATGTTGCTAGAGATAAATATGCGACAATGTTATATCCTCTAGTTGAATCGTCACTGCCAGATGATGCATTAAGAGCATGGCAAAGATTCTGAGTTATTAATCGCAGTCAGAGAGAATCTGAAAGTAGTGAGCAAAAAGAGAAAAATGCATCAACACATCGATTAGATTCAGATGGTTTGCTTTCATTTTTGCTGGATGAAATTGAAGGTGAAGAGAGAGTATTTATAGCTACTCAGTGCTTTACTAAATATCAGACTCCTCAGCCTGGGAATGCTAAACATTTTGGTTTAAAAAACCGTGGAGAATTTTCCAAAACACCTTCTGCTTCTACTCTAATAGCAACATCTGAACAAAATTCAACTGGATGTATTTTTTGTGGTGGAAATCATGCATCTGGTGATTGCTTTAAAGCAAGAAAGATGACGTCTAACGAAAGGCAAAAGCAGTTCTAAATAGTCGCAGTTGCTTTTTACGTTTAGACAGAAAACATACTTTTATGTAGAAATATCCAAGCAGAATCAAAATCTCCAGTTCCTGTTAGCATGAATAAGGATGAAAATACGGATGCAGTACCTGAACGAGATGAAACCCTTGCCAATTTGGCAAGAACAAAAAATGTGTTTTTGCAAACTTTTAACGGTTACATTGAAAGAGCGAGATAGAAAGCGCCAGGCTCGCGCTATTATCAATTAAGCTTCACAAAGATCTTATATTTTAAAAAGCACTGCAGATGAAATGAAATTTGAGAGTACATCTAAAGAAAGATTGAGCCATTCA